GGGGGGGAGAAAAGGTTGGGGGGGCGGGGGGGGGGGGGGGGTGTGGGGAAGACAAAGGAATGGCGGAGGAGGAAGGGAGAAAGAAAGGGAGAGAGAGAAGGTGGGGGAGGGAAGATGAGAGTGAGAGAGAAAGAAACTTTCCTTAAAGATGCCAAAACCTGGCTAACCGTTAGCATCTGTTGGTCACCTTATGAAATGCTGCTTCCCGATTCCCAACTCTGACCTACTGAACGAAAAGCTCGAGGGACAGGGCCCAGGGTTTACACGGCCGGCCCTCCCCGCATCATTAAGGCCTTCTAACTATTTTGAGTTGATTGCAAAAAAAGGTTTCCTGTTTTCCTTTCCTGCTCCTTGGAGCACCCCTGCACCTACCATCTTTTTGTCTGCCCTAGAATCTCCCAGAGCGGGAGAAAGAGCTGCGGCATGGGGGAAGGGCTCTGAAGGACGAGGTTAGGGATTCGGCTCTGGCACTTATCCAGGTAGGTGCTCTCACATCCCTTACTCCCTTAGCCCTAAGATGACAGGATGGGATCCACCTTCAAGAGTTGCTACTAGGACTAAATGACAGGCACTCAACTGGGAGTTAGTTACCGCCCACGCCCCAAAGGATTGGGTCTGATGACCTTGACTCTTGTTTCCTGCCTACACTGACTTCTTCTCACCTCAAATTAAACCTTCTGAAGGTTAATGCTTTGAGTCTTTTAGGAATTGTTATTGTTGCCACATGTTATTAATGTTTAGGGGAATATAAAACAAAATAAGTTAATTGCCCTAACAAGAATCGTTTTACCTGAGGATTCAAAAAAGAAAATAGTTTAGGTAGCCTTTCTTGCTCCTTTAATACGATTTTCATTTTTCAAGGGTAGTATAACTGAACCTACAAACATTATGCCAAAAATAACTTTAAAAATTAATTTCGTTGTATTTTGCCACAATTTGTGCTATCACAGTAAAAACATTTAGGCTAAGTGGCAATGATATTTAGTTTAAAAATGCGAGGGATAAAAGAAAAGTCTTGATGCAGTCGCCATAATTTTGAGAAAACAAATGCTTGGAATTTTATAACACTGATATTTTTATCAGATATTCAGACTTCAAGATTCCTAGTTGGAATTAATTTCAAACACAAACAGTTCAATTTCTGTGAAGTGCATTTACAGAACCCTGCGAATATGTAAAATGCAAAAGTCTCTACCTTTACCTTCATTCTCAGTTAATCTGGATGAGAGTTAGGTGATGCACCATGTATATGAACAAGTAATCAGGCTATGTGAGGAGGCCACCAAGAACTTTTCTGGTATCGATAAACTTGACTTCAGCAACTCAGTTTTTTTTGTCCCCCCCACTCCCACCTTAACATTTTATTTCAAAAAGTACAATTCACACATTTTCCACTAGGAGTCAGTCAGGGACCATGATTGAATTAGAGGACTGGCAGGAAGTTGGGAGAAGCTACACTTGATGAATTTCCAACAGCTGTTAACATTATTAGGCCAGTGATACATTTTTTGATGTTTAAAAAACTCCCCATCATGGATTTCTTTGAAATAATAAGAACAAATAGATTTTGGAAGCTTTAATAAAAAAATTAAGAAATAATCAAAGAATGAAGTGAAAAGTTCGACTTAATAATCTTGCTGATATAAAAGATAAAATTATTATAACATCATAGTGGATAAAGTATATGAAATAAGTGTGTTTTCATTGCCCCTGGGAACAATGTGATTAAGACTTGCTCTTTGGAGCCAGACAGATGTGGGTTTGAATCTAGGCTCGGTCACGTTCTAGCTGTATAAACTTGGGCAATTTACTTAAAGTCTTTGAGCCTCCATTTTTATTTCTCTAGAATGGGGAGAATAAGGCTTTTGGCAGAAGGTGTTTTGCGTCGGGTAAAATGAGATTATAAAGTTCTTAGCATGGTGTATGTGCGAAAAAAATTATTAAATTCTAAAAGTATCAGGAAGTTAGGTTAAAAAGTACAATTCTATCGTGATATATTAACCATTCTAACACATAAAGGGAAAACTGCCTGGAATCCACACACCTAGTATGGGAGAAAGAGAACAGGTATGTAAACTAGTCTTGTTTTGTAATGGCCTATAATTGCCTTTTGGAATCCCTCTGGTAATTTTGATTTTCCAGTAGACAGGTAAACAATAGGTGAGGCATATCAAAGACTCTTTGCCTTTGCTCAGAAGGGCATTCCAAGGCACAGGGCCAGCAACTAAAGGACTAACAATGAAGAAAATGCTCACCTCTCTGCGTGAGCTACCTGAAGCCTCTCTCATGAAAACGCCCTGATGAAATGAGACTCCTACTTCAGTCAAAGCACACACCTGTGCACATTCATTTCCTGGGTACAGAATCACGGCTGACAGCCCCTGAGAATGTGCTCCAGATGCTTTTCGAGATATACAAAGAGCAAAAGAGACTCTCCTTCCTCAGAATTCTCAGCTCTCCTGATTTTCCACCCGCTTCTACTCTCATGAGCATCATCCCCTTCTCTGCCCCACATCGCTCCTCCAGCGCTGGCGTGGACCATTTTGCCAGCCGTGTGGATAATGCCTTCTCACCCTCACCTTAATTAGCTCCTTGTCGCTTTATCTCTGACAACATTGTCCTCTGCTCTAGAACAGCAACACACAACCATAGCCACCCCCAGAACCTTGTCGGTCACCTAGACCTGCTCTACCTCTGAGGCAGAGCTCACAGGTCCCTCCCTCAACTACAGATTTCTGTATTTCCCTGTCCCCACCTTTAACTCCTGCTG